AGATACTGAATCTTTTGGATCCTCTAATTTTCTTATTTTGTCTCCACTCATGTCCATCACTTTATCTTTCTTCCAATTTTCTGTAAGATTACTCAACTTTATCTGCCAACTTTTCTATGGATTAAATAATTTTTAAATCATATTTTTATTTTTCAGGAGGCATTATTCTGGCTTTTTTTAGTAGCATACTATTTCTGGTTTATGGATATAATATCTTCTCTAACATTTCTGAGAATATTATTGATTTCTAGAAGTCTTCTCCTACTGTCTGAATTAATGCTCTTTCTTCTTCTTTTTTTAAAATGATCTTTCCTGTTAGAGATTTTCCTTTGGAATCTGTTCCTATTTAGGAGTAAGACAACCCAAGTGGCACTAAGTGGTAAAGAACCTGCCTGCCAATGCAGGAGACATAAAAGATGCAGGTTCAATCCCTGGGTTGGGAAGATCCCCTGGAGGCGGGCATGGCAACCCATGCCAGTACTCTTGCCTGGAGAATCCCATGGACAGAGGAGCCTGGTGGGCTACAGCCCATGGGGTCACAAAGAGTCAGACACCAATGAAGCAACCAAGCATGCACAAGGCAACAAAAAGATGCTTGAGCTGCTCTGTCTAGGGAAGTGGTAGTGAGCCAATGTCCAGGTTCTTTTCTGGGAACGTTTAGTTCTCTCTAAGAATAACTCCCTAAGATGGCTGGATGGCATCACCCATGCAATGGACATGAACTTGGGCAAACTCTAAGAGATGGTGAGGGTCAGGGAAGCCTGGAATGCTGCAGTCCGTGGGGTTGCGAAGAGTCAGACACAACTAGGGGCCTGAACAACAACAACAAAGTGTAACTCTCCTCCGACATCTTGCCTGCAAGCATCACTGACTGCTAGAGCTCTGAAAGGTGTGCAGGGGAAGGGAGCTGGTCAGGAAGTAGGCACTTACTCAACTGCTCTCAGCGCCTCAGCCCCTGCCCTCCTCTCTCCTAGGGTCCTTGAGAAGTTCAGAGCTTCTTTAGATCTTTCCCAGACAATAAGTCTCCTGTCTCTAGAAAAGATTGAGCGAGGTCGACCATGCTGCTCAATGATCAGAGTTCAGACCTGCTGCCTCCAGAGTCCTTGCTCTGAAGCACTACATTAAGTCTGTTGAGCCAGAACTGAACTCCCGCCCTAAGGTGGCTGGTGCATTTCTCCCCAGTCCTCTGCTTTACCAAGGGAGCTACTGAACATGACTCAGGAAAGGGAGAAGCATAGTAGCTTCCATCTTCTCAACATTGCCCCAGATTCTCCTGATGAACCAGGTCATTCTGTGGATGGGTGTCATTAGGTTCATATGCTTAGCTAGGGTAGGAGTTGCCTCCCTGATATCCAGTGCCTGGGGGCTGACGGCAGAGTTAGCTGCTCTAGGAGCAGCCTATTCCAGAAGCTCGAAGGCCAAGGGCATTTCTGATGACATTGATGCAGAGTCTTCCACCATCAGTTCTAGTTTATATCCACTTTTGTTGTTATTGCTGCAAATGGCCATATTTCATTCTTTTTTATAGCTGAGTAGTATATTATTGTACATATATATCACCTCCTCATTTTTAACTGTTTATTCTTTAGTGGAGTATAGTTGATTAACAATGCTGTGAAAGTTTCAGATGTACAGCAAAATGATTCAGTTATACATATACATGTTTCTAATCTTTTAAAAATTCTTTTCCCATTTAGGTTGTTACATAATCTTGAGCAGAGTTCCCTGTGCTATAGAGTGAGTCCTTGTTGGTTATCCATTTTAAATATAGCAGTGTGTACATGTCGATGCCAAACTCCCTAGTTATCCCTTCCCCCTCTGGCAACCATAAATTTGTTCTTTAAGTCTATTTCTGTTTTGTAAATGAGTTCATTTATATATTTCTTTTAAGATTCCATATTTAAGTGATACCATAGGATATTTCTCTTTCACTGTCTGACCTACTTCACTCAGTATGACACTCTCCAGGTCCATCCATATTGCTGCAAATGGCATTATATCATTCTTTTTAATGGCTGAGTAATATTCTATTCTATACATGTACCACATCTTTATCCATTCCTCTGTTGATGGACATTTAGGTTGCTTTCATGCCTTGGCTATTGTAAACTGCTAAAGTGAACACTGGGGTGCATGTATCCTTTTGGACCATGTTTTTCTCTGGATATAAGCCCAGGAGTGGGATTGCTAGATCAAATGGTAGCTCTATTTTTAGTTTTTTTTAAGGAATCTCCATACTGTTCCCTATAGTGGCTGTACCAATTTACATTCCCACCAACCCTGTAGGAGGGTTCCCTTTTCTTCACACCCTCTCCAGCATTTACTATTTGTAGATTTTTTGATGATGGCCATTCTGACCACTATGCTACCTCACTGTATTTTTGATTTGCATTGTCTATACAAAAGATCATAACATTTAAAAAAATCTTTAACTGAAGATTTTTTGAGATGACTTTGAGCATTTCTTACAATACTAATAAGTATTTTCCAGACAAACCAGACCAGAACTCAGGGGTGGGATATATCAAGGGCAAACAGAAACTCCAAATCTATTTCTAGATTAGAAGTTGTCCACGTACTACTACTATATACCAAATCATAATATATTTTGATGATGTAAAACCCCAACCAAACTGAATGTCTTCCAGCATCTGAGACAATATTTATAAAAAGGAAGTGTGGAAGTGTGTGTATGAACCTGAAAAAATGACACACGAACATGTTTATTTTCCTCAACGCCAAAGGTGGTTTCCCTTAGAACTAACAGAAAAAAATTTAACATTCCGCCTCCCCCAGGAGACTTCTAACTGACAAGGAGGTGTTTTTAAGGCAGAGAAGAAAAGCCAAACAGCAGGGCCTTATATGGATTTCTGGGGTTTGATAGAGAGGCAGGCAATTTTCCAGACCAGGTAGAATATTAATGTGAAAAACACTCAATAATGACATCAACAGAAATTGCTATGGGAAAGGTCCTCACCCAACTCATAGCTAATTACGACCCTCAGGAATCTGTTGAATCTGTCTCATGAATTAGAATAATGTGTGCTAAGCCCAAATATTTTGGGGGAACACATTACTTCCATCAAATCAATTATACATCTTTCAGGAGCAAGAATTTAGAGGTTCATTCAGCAAAATTTGTTGATGCCTAGAATGTGCCAGATACAGATCTCAGTACCAGATATCTGGCAATGAACAAAGCCCCTGGTGCATGGAGCTTTCATTTAACTGGAGGAGAGAGACAACAGTCATACAAACCTGCCCTGTGTCGGGAGTGACAGTGCCACAGAAAGCAGTAACCCACGAGATGCACGGTAAGGGGCAGGATGGTATGTTTGAGAAGTAGCAGGAAGGACCTCTCTAATAAAGTGATATGTGGGCAGAGACCACATGAAGTAAGAGGAGAAAGAAGGCAAGAACATCTTATACTTCTTTATGTCACACTGCTTCTATTACAGGCATACCCTGCTTCATTGTGCTTTGCAGATACTTCTTTTTTTTTTTTCCACAAATTGAAGGTTGGTGGCAAGCCAGCATTGTCAGATGATGGTTAACATTTTTAGCAATTAAGTATATTAAAACTAAGGTATATACACTGATTTTTAAAGATATAATGCTATTTCATACTTAATAGACTACAGCATGGTATAAACAATTTTTATGTACGCTAGGAAACCAAAACATTCATGTGACTTGCTTTATTGTGGAATTCATTTTTTTGTGATAGTCTGGAACTGAATCTGCAACATTTCTAAGGTAGCCTATATATAAACTGAATATAACTGGTGCTTATAAATAGCAGTTAATCAACTTAGTGATGCTTTGAGTTTGTTTTCTTTTGATGAGTAAAAGGATTAAAGAAAGTAGAATCTGGTGAGTTTACTGCATTGTCTAGTTTAGTGGTCCTAAGGAAGGGTTGATTTTGCCTTCCAGGGGATATCTGGCAATGTCTGAAGATATTTTGATTATGATGACCTGGGAGGATGGGGAGGGTATCACTGGCATGTCCTGCATAAAAGCCAAGGATGCTACTAAACATCCTATGGTGCACGGGATAAATTCATACAGTAAAGAATGAATGGGTGCAAAATAATGGGTGTAAAAAATTGGGACCTTGATGTGGTCCCAGGCACGCTGCCCTCTCTGATGAGAGCTGAGAACCTGGGCAGAATGAGCTCTTTCAAACAACCTCATAAAGATATGTGGGTATCTGCAGGCAGGGCAGACCCACAGTACTTGGAGTTATTACCTTGGGACATCTGTTCTAAGCTTGGTAACAGATTTGGTCAGATGGTTCCTAAGTTTATTCACTAAGTAACATTAAGTAAAAGTTTTCTGCATGAATGTGGTATAAGAGAGGGCAAGGCGACGAGATGTGGTCCCATTGGAAGCATGAAGACCAACACCTGCAAAGTGACAAGGGCCACAGGTGAGGAGAAAACAATGAGGTCCAGGAAGGAAGCAATGACTTCTGTTCGGGTGACTCACATAAGTTTAACATGTGAGGCGTCACTGAAGCTGGGCGTTGACAGTGAGTAGGGTTTAAACAAGTAGAGAAGGAAGCAGAGGATATGCTGGGTAGAGGGTAAGGTGTGAAAATAGCTACAAAGGCAGGGAATAATGTTATCACAGCAACCTTGCTTTGTGTGCATGCTCAGTCATATCTGACTTTTGGGACCTCAGGGACTGCAGACTGTCAGGCTCCTCTGTCCATGGGATTCTCCAGGCAAGAATACTGGAATGAGTTGCCATTCCCTTCTCCAGGGGTCTTTCTGACCCAGGGATTGAACCTGTGCCTCCTGCTTGGCAGGCAAATTCTTTACCACTGAGCTGCCTGGGAAGCCCTATTACAATGACTGCCATCAACTAATGGCTTTCCTGGTGGCTCAGACAGTAAAGAATCTGCCTGCAATGCAGGAGACCCGGGTTTGATCTCTGGATCTGGAAGATCCACTGAATAAGGGAATGGCTACCCACTCCATTATTCTTGCCTGGAGAATTCCATGGCCAGAGGTGCCTGACAGGCTAGAGTTGGGCCACTAACACATTAACCAACAAATTCCCTATTGTAGGTGTGGTGCCAACAACTTTATAATGAAAAACTATAGTATAAACTGAAAACTGATATATAAGAAGCAGTTGAAACCTAGCATGATCCAAAGTGACTTTAATTCCCATCTTAAGCATTTCAAAAAGATAATGAAACATAGGAAGTGTTACCTGAGGACAGTTGCATAAATATCGAAGCAGTTCACCAATATACTGAATGACAGTGATGTTATATTTTCTGCAGTCATCCCAAAACTGGCTGGCTGAAAATTTGGTCCGCAAAACAAGAGTAGCACCTAGCGAGAAGGCATAGAAGGTACCAATAAAGGAATGCTACCAAAAAAAGTCCCAAGTTATATTTTTCAGTTTTGAAATTTATATGTGAATTACATTCATAAACAAGTGTTAGGGACCAACTATATTCAATGCAAGAAAAAAAGAATAAGACATCATTTTATTCAAAAGGAGATTACAGTATAGTGGGGGAGAAGACATAAGGTTTTCTAGTAAAAGTCAGCTTGCAATAAATAAACACAGTTCAGTGAAGCCCTAAGGGTGTATGTGTGTTGCAGGGAGGTAGATTAATTTTTCCTGGGCAAGGGATGAGAAAGACATATTTTTTAAAAGTAGGATTTGAACTAGGTCTTGAGAAATGAGTATGGAGAAAAATGAGAGAATTCCTGGCAGAGGAAAAAACATGAACATAAAGACAGGACGGTCCAGAAGGTTGGGGGATGGCCAAGATTCAGTTGGTCTGTAACCAGAGTGGTGAAAGGTGGGTGGGTCAAAGGCAATGAACCTGGAGAAGCAGTTAGGGTTGCAATCTTGGAGAGTTTGTAAGTGTCAGGTGGAAGAACCAGACTTAATTTATTAGTTGATGGAGAGCCAAAGTCTTGAGCAAGCAGGAGATATTCTTCTATGGTGGGTGATACAGACAGGATAATGGTTCCCAAAGACATCCACATCCTAATCTTTAGAACCTGTGAATATGCTACCTTACATGACAAAAGGGACTATGTAGATGTGATTAAACTAAGGATCTTGAAAAGGGGAGATGATCCTTCTTCATGGGAGGGCAGACAGATTGAATATCACAATCACAGAAAACTAACCAATCTGATCACATGGACTACAGCGTTGTCTAACTCAATGAAACTAGGAGCCATGCCGGGTAGGGCCACCCAAGATGGATGGGTCATGGTGGAGAGTTCTGACAAAACGTGGTCCACTGGAGAAGGGAATGGCAAATAACTTCAGTATTCTTGCCTTGAGAACCCCATGAACAGTAAGAAAAGGCAAAAAGATAGGACACTGAAAGATGAACTCCCCTGGTTGGAAGGTGCCCAATATGCTACTGGAGATCAGTGAAGTAATTCCAGAAAGAATGAAGAGGTGGAGCCAAAGCAACAGCAACACCCAGATGTGGATGTGACCGGGGATAGAAGTAAAGTCCGATGCTGTAAAGGGCAATATTGCATAGGAACCTGGAATGTTAGGTCCATGAATCAAGGCAAATTGGAAGTGGTCAAACAGGAGATGGCAAGAGTGAACATCAACATTTTAGGAATCAGTGAACTAAAATGGACTAGAATGGGTGAATTTAACTCAGATGACCATTATATCTACTACTGTGGGCAAAAATCCTGTAGAAGAAATGGAGTAGCCATCACAGTCAACAAAAGAGTCTGAAATGCAGTACTTGGATGCAATCTCAAAAATGATAGAATGTTCTCTGTTCGTTTCCAAGGCAAACCATTCAATATCACAGTAATCCAAGTCTATGCCCCGACCAGTAATGCTGAAGAAGCTAAAGTTGAACAGTTCTATGAAGACCTACAAGACCTTCTAGA